GGAACTATTGTTTTCAACACGCACGGTCACGTGAAGTACGACAAGTATTTTCAGCGGTCGGAATCAGGAAATGTTTTATTGTTAACGGGAGTGGCACCCGTATACAATTAAAGTCATGACCAGTGGGAAGACGTCGACATTCTTCTGGATACTGGAGCAGACCAGTCCTTCATAACGGACGATCTCGCACAGGAACTTGGCTTGGAGTGCACAGGACATGTCATTTTCGTGATGTATACCTTCGGTGCGGAAAAACCAAGACGTGCAATGTCAGGCGTAGCCTCGGTACAACTCATGGATCAGCACGGAGAGAAGCATGATCTACGTTTATACAACGCTCCAGTACTCACCATGAAAGGAAAAACTGCGCAGCTGGAGATCTCTGATTGGGCCTTTATTGGGCAACGCAACATCCGCCTTTCCAGCACGGAAACCGGAAAGAGAATTAAGCCTCAGATCCTGTTTGGATGCGATCGGTTATGGAACTTATTAGATGTCCCAAATCCGCATTTCACCTTGCCGTCAGGATTACAATTGATCCCCTCCAAGATAGGATACTCGATCACAGGCAAACAAAGAGGCATAACGGAGCAAAGCCACACCTACAGTCCAGAGGATTCGCCTACGGTGGCAACCATGAATTCCTTGGTCAACTTTGAAGAAGAAATGGAAAGATGGGATAAATATTGGACCATAGATAATGCAGGAATCTGAGAATTCACAGGAACAAAGAACACGGAAAAAGAAGCCGTCAACCAAAAAGTTTCGGAATTCTTCGAGGACTCCATAGAAAAGCGAGAGGATGGATACTATATCCGGTTCCCCTATAAGGACAACTACACCGAACTTCCTTCGAACAAAGCCATTGCATTCAAACGCCTTCACTCAGTGATACAATCAGTACGAAAGACGCCTAATCTACTGCACGAATACGATGAAACCTTCCAATCTCAGAGAGACAGCGGTGTCATCGAGGAAGCCCCACAAGCTTTACCGAAAAAGGACTCTCTGCTTCATTACATCCCACATCAGCCGGTACTAACCCCACACAAGAAACGACGAAATTGTGGATTGTGCTCGATGCACCAGCGCACTTTAAGGATAATCCCTCATTGAACGACGTCTTGCATCAAGGACCACTCATACTACCTGAGTTATACGCCATGCTACTTCGTTTCCGTACTCCCAGATACGTGGCTATAGCGGATGTCGAAAAGGCACTCCTCCAGGTCTGACTACATGAAAAGAACCGAGACGCCACACGATTCTTGTGGGTCAGAAACATCAACCAGCCCATAAGTGGGGACAACATCATCACGTCCCGTTTTACTCGAGTAACCTTCGGGCTAAACGTCTCCCCCTACTTACTGGGCGGAACAATCCATCACCATTTACGCACAACGGTAGACGACACCACGCTAGCTGATGAAATTCGCAACAACTTGTACGTGGACAACCTGATCCTCGCGGCATCTACTGAGGAGAAGTTGGTCCAAAAATCGCTAACAACGCGTCAGATTTTTCAAGATATGGGCATGAATTCGAGGGTATTTCTCTCTAACGAAGACACTCTACGGGACAAATTTTCCGAGGAAGCACACGCCATGAAAACAACTCAAAAGGTACTAGGAATCACGTGGGATGCAAAACGTGATTGCATCAATATCCGCTGCACTTTTGCATCTCTGGAGAACATCACAAAAAGGGTAATTGCAAGACAGATTTCCAGGATATATGACCCGTTCGGTTGGTTGGTACCACTGCTAGCTCAAGCAAAGAAGTTTCAACAGGACTTATGGAAGGAAAAGTTTTCCTGGGATGAGAAACTTCCAACAAACCTGGCAGAGCAATGGAATACACTAGTGGAAAACGTAAACAACTTCCAAATATCAATCCCACGACGACTTCGCTCCATATCGGACACGCCAAACCTAGCAATCTTTGCAGATGCGAGTGAAATCGCAATAGCGGCTAGTGCTTACATCTTCAATGAAAACTACTTAGAATTGGCAATGGCGAAGTGTAAACTTCCCTCCATCAAGTCGAAAACAACGATGCCAAAGTTAGAACTGAACGCCCTCACCTTGGCAATGCGATTGGCCAGTTCGATAACACAAGCACTTAAGGAACGCATCGCGGGCTATCCATGGACTATTCACGTATTCTCGGACTCCCAAATCGCGTTGATCTGGCTAACATCCCCAACCACTGCTAACCTCGGAGTTTTGGTTGCCAACAGGGTTCGAGAAGTTCGGAGAATCGTCACGCAATTGAACAACGATTCAATTACAGTCATTTTCAGATATGTGAATACGTCACAGAACCCGGCGGATGCAGGAACAAGAGGGCTCTCAAGAGAACAAATGCACGATCGCTATTGGTTAAAAGGACCAGAGTTCTTGAAGAAACCAATAGAGCAATGGCAGCACCCAGTCTACCAGCTCTGGGAAGACGTAATCGGCAACGACTTTTACCAACGTCAACTTCACCTGCGGACAACATGATACACCTAATGCGCTCATCGACCTCTGCCGCTACAGCTCGTTTTCGATGGCCAAGCGAGTAACCACCTGGATTCTTCGGTTCATAAAGAAAACCATGCGAAGATTAAAAGAAGACACCAAGGATAGAATTGTAGCGCACATTCCAGAGATAAAGGATGTTTTAGACGTACCCTGCAACATCAATGGAAGCGAAGTACGGGCAGGAAGATATGCACTGATCCGCAACCACCAGCTGCTTTTCCTTACAAAGGAGTACCGGAAAAATATGGAAAACTCCTTACGACCCTACCTAGACAAGTGGAATATTTGGCGCTCGAAAGGGAGAATGGGAAACTCCGCGCTCAACTCCGACACCAAAGATCCCATCCTTATCACGCCAAACACGGCTCTTGCACAGCTTATCATACAGGAAGCTCATGGACTGTACCATAAAGGCATTGAACATACGATAGCTACAGTAAGAGAACGCTACTGGATTCCAAAACTGAGACAACAAGTCCGCAAGTACGTCAGTCACTGCATCAAGTGTCGACGTTTCAACGCTTTGCCATATCAATATCCAGACTCCACAGACTTACCGGAACGACGAGTGCTGAAGAGCAATCCCTTCCAACATACTGGTCTCGATTTTTTCGACCTACCACAGTGCGAGGAGAATGAAAGAAGGATAAAGTTATACGGCTGCATCTTCACTTGCACCGTCACCCGCCTCATACATCTTGAAATCGTCCGGAGCCTGACAATTGAAGAATTCTTGAACGCGTTGCGACGCTTCATAGCACGTCAAGGCATACCAAAGACTATCACATGCGATAACGCTCCAACTTTCCTGCTTGCCGCAAGCATCATAGAAGAGCAGAACAATGGATTAAGTGAACACACCGCTCAAATCGTTTTAAACCGAGAAATAGAGTGGAGGCACACACCCTATTGACCCTATGCACCATGGCAAGGAGGATTTTGCGAACGTCTGATCAAATCAGTAAAACAAGCAATTTACAAAGCCTCGAGGAACTCGGAAACATACTCCTTCGACGATGTTCTCACATTTTTAATTGAAGTGGAAGTCTGTCTCAATTCCAGACCCTTCACGTATCAGAGCGCCGTACATGAAGAATTTACGTGCTGCGACAGATCGATTTTCTACAACGTGTTCTGAACCTCAGCCTCACATTAGGCAACACTGAATCGGAAACACAAGACCCGGACAGCCTTCATGGGGTCCAAACTCGACAACATGCACTGGAAGCCCTCAATTCGTCTCGCCGAAGAATCGGACGCTTCTGGATGATTTGGCAACAACAATATTTGATATTTCTTCGAGAATCCCATAAGAAAAACCCCGCAAGTCAACGTCATGACGGCATCACGCCATCTCTAGGAGATGTACTGTTAGTAAGTGACCCAGTGCTTCCTAGAAATGAGTGGAAAATGGCTCGTATCACAGGACTACGTCAGAGCACCGATGGAGCCATACGAGAAGCCGAATTAGTAACCGCCACCAGGAGGAAAATCCGTCGTCCAATCAACTTACTCATTCCACTGGAATTTCAAGATCCCGAACAGGAAGTGAGCATATCAGAGCACAAGGACGCGCCACCAGAGCAACCTAGTCGACAACAGCCCCCTCGCACTCATAACTACAATTTGAGGGAAAGGAAGGCAACACGCCACGTTCATAACCCAACCACCGCAATAAGCACAAGGACGACAAGAGGCGTATGGTTCCCGTTTTATATAATGATTCTGAACCTTCTAAACATTGCCCATGGCAACTCCACGGAAGGAATGCACGTCTCATGTGGCGACAAGGGATTATTGTTCATGCACAACAAGGGCAGACCTTCAAAATTTGCGCTGAACGTCTCTGCGAAGTCCGACACATGGATACCGCTCCGCTACTTATCAAATTTCCATTGGATATCAGCATGCGAGACTACAGAGTTCTTGTAAAGTTGAACGTCGAAAACCACTTGGCAACAGTGGCAACACGTTGCAAAGGCCTGAATTTTTGCAGCAACATCGACTGCAACATCTGCTTGTCAATTCTGCTCAATCCGGAATGCTGGCCACTAGGCGCAATCCTGACATTCACACTATGCCTCTACGGCATCATAGCCTTGACCTACGCCTGTCTTTATGTTCCCGTAACAATTGGAAAACCCATACGTATCGCCGGCGGTATTATCCTAAAGCTGACTGTCATTCTGGCAAAGACGCTATACTGCTGTATTCGAGTATTGCGACGGCGACGAACGAGAGGAAGGAATGGCACCCGCATGACTTCAGCCCTAGCTACGGCTCTCGCTCTCCTGTACCTGGTTCAGACCACCCGCAGTTGCCAACACGTGAACGTTCTCGAACAAAGTCTCACCACGTGCACACAAGAAAACGGCAAAGAAATATGCAAAACTTCACTGTTGGAAGTATTGAAAATCAACAGCTTTCGACAACAAGCATGTCTACGACTCGTGAGAAACTCGACACTGGTGCTCAATATAAAAATACGCTGGAAAGGACTGTATCTCCACTGTGACCAGGAGACACTATATTTCACACGCTCCATTCACTTAAACGTGACGGACAGTAAGCGATGCCCACGGATGGGCTCCTGTAAGGGAGAAAAGTGCGCAGGCATCAACAGCTCCAGCATCATTCCAGAGCTGAAACGCGGAAACCACTTTCCAGGGCGAACTAGATGTTTTGAGTCCTGCGGTGAGTTCGGCTGCGACTGTTTTTATCCCAGCTCCGGTTGTCTATTTTATAGGATTTTTGCCACTCCAGCGGACAACAAAATTTACGAGATATTCCGATGTATGCGATGGCGCGAGAAGACCATGTTTGAAAT